CGTCCAAAGTGGCCATAGTTATTGTAAATAACTAAAATACATACACTCATTTCAAACATCTTAGCACCCACAAAAACATTTTTTACATATTCGGGCTCTGATATGATGCTTCTTGATCAGACCGAACTTTAATTTTCTTTCTGCTTGCACTTTCGTCCTATCAAAATTGCCCTTGACCCTTGCCTTTTATAGTTTACTTTTACTATATACATCGCAAAGTTTGTGGGTTTATAAGGCTGCTTTACGTTTTAGCTGATCGTCTTTGATAATTTTATAAGCCTGGCGACAATTCTCACTCACTCTTCGTTTTAACATAAAAGACACGTTCTCCTCCCATCATATTTTCATATTTCTGTCAGTAGTTTCTACCCGCTTTGATGTTGAGTCCCTGCATTTTAGCTGGTGTGTTCTGATGATTAACTTCTCGGTTTGCCTGGTTGTATGGCTTCCTAGACACTTGACACATTTACCCTTAGAATCGTAACCTATCCGATCGTAGAGTAGCTTCTTATAATATTAGCATTATTAAAATTGCATAACTGTTTCTTCCTCCCTCTCCTTGATCCGCTGCTTCCTTCAATTTTTTCCCGCATTTTGCTCCTTTGCTCTAATGGAGTACTTTCCCTCACTTATATTTGCCTGCCGATTTTTTTTCACTTGCCTGACTCGTCTAAACGTTATTGCGCTTATAATTATAATGTATATGCATATACATGCTGATATTCACACACACGCACACACACACGCACACAAACATACATATATATATATATGTATATATATATTTGCGTGCTTTCATGTATGTATATTTGTGTGTGCACGTGTTATTTTTCCTGCATTTACTTAATTTGCCTGATAAATCGGTGTATTATTAGTTTTCTTACTGCACCATCCTTTACCGCCCTCCGCACTGCATGTTCGAGACCTGCTTGTCTCATCGGATCTTTCTTATTCTGTCAGAGGCATCTTCTTTTTACTTATACACCTCTCTATCTTTTACTCTTCTTCCACTTGATTAATCGCAATTGATCTCATCTATTAACCTACATTTTTTAATCTTTCATTTCAAATTGTTCCTTCCTGATTGCCTTCCTGCTCTATTGCGTTCGTTCTCTTTCTGTCTCTTCGTCTTTCTCTCTTTCGCCGTCTATCTTTTTCCCTCTTCATCTCTTCCCCTATTAACTATCTTACAGCGATTAAATTCGCAGACTAGCGTAATCAGCAGTCTTTCCGGTGGCCTGAACAGCACTGCTGAATCGAGCATCCAGACGCCAGAACCCTCTTCAGCCTCGATGACGATACCACCTGTACGTAAGCAAAAGACTGGCAGCTCATCACTTTGTGGCAGTCAGTCGGGGCTCGAAGCCTTCTTTCAATCGCCACAACTACTCCTTTCTGGAAGTCAGACCACCTCAGAATCAAGACGTAAAAGCCAACATCAAGCAGATACGAGCGTTAAGAACTTTTCTGCATCGGTATCTGTATCAAAAGGTGGCCTGTTACTGCCGAATGGTGCAGACGCCGGATGGAACGGTGACGTAGGGGAAACCAACTTATTAACTCGCATTTCTTCGGGACTTAGTTCTGGGACTCCCGAGGCGAATGGACTCGGTCCCAGATCAGATGAAGATGCGATTTTAGTTGGCCCTTTTAATGGGAACTCTGTACGCCCTGAGTCTGGTACCGTTTCGCACACTTGTCCCTCTGGGACAAGTTCTCTGAAGAACTGCGCCACCAACATAATTAATCTTAATCCCAATTCGCATAAATGGCTTCACTTAGGCTCCTCTACTACTAAACCTGGAGCTTTAGGTCCTACATATCTTGATATGGAGTCGACCGACTACCGAGACAGATTGGCAATGAAGGAGGAGCATGAAGCAATAAAAGCCCGCATCTCCACAGACTCGAAACAGGCATCTACCAAGTCTGGTGAAATAGCAAGCGGTTCTCAACTCCCACGCTTTCAGACAGCCCCTATCTCTGCTGGTAATGAGACATTCAGTGGTCAGGAGGTCTATCTCGAACTTTCCAACTTGTCTGGCTCCTGTAGTCAGCAGTCTCTAGGCGGGCCTAGCGACTGGAGCGAGCAGGAGGACCGATTATCCTCAGGATTTTTTCGTTTTGCTTTATCCGCTACTGGTACTGGTGGCTGTTCTAGTGGTGGTGACGGAGTTGGCTGCAGTAAAGATGACACAGATGATAGTCTTCTAGGTTTTTTAGGCAGCTCAGCTTCATCGCTGTCTCACACTGGAATTTGTCAGCCGCCTTCACAGCCTAGGCAAGTGGACATGCTGAGAGACGAGAATATCAGCAATCTCGATGCCGGTGATACTACATTGGAGACTGTACAGAA